AAATCCCCTGTGTGTTTGGACCCTGACCCCGCCGATCTGCGTGAGGGGTGCCATCGAATTTCAGAAATGTTGCAACTCCCTTGAGATTTTGCACCCTGACCCCGCCGATCTGCGTGAGAGCTGCCACCGAATTTCAAACATGTGGCAAATCCTATGTTTCTTTGGATCTTGACCCCGCCGATCTGCGTGAGGGGAGCCACCGTATTTCGCAAATGTGGCAAATCCTTATGTTTTTGGACCTTGAACCCGCCGATCTGCGTGAGGGGTGCCACCGACTTTCAGAAATGTTGCAAATCCCGTGTGATTTTGCACCCTGACCCCGCCGATCTGCGTGAGGGGTGCAACCGAACTTCAGACATGTGGCAAATCCCGTGTGTTTTTGGACCTTGACCCCGCCGATCTGCATGAGAGGTGCTACCGAATTTCAAACATGTGGCAAATCCTATGTGTTTTTGGACCCTGACCCCGCCGATCTGCGTGAGGGGTGCAACCGATTTTTTTAGAAATGTGGCAAATCCCGTGTGTTGTTACACCCTGACCCCGCCGATCTGCGTGAGGGGTGCCATTGAATTTCAGAAATGTAGAAATTTCCGTGTGTTTTTGCACCCTGACCCCGCCGATCTGCGTGAGGGGTGTCAATTTTTACCCACCCCAGCAATTCAGAGCATACGATCTGGGCGTAGCAAAAATGCCCGTTTTGGGCCTCCCCCCCTCGCGCGGTCCTTCAACAAGGAACAGTAAGCAGCAAGAAGCAGGACTGTAACAAGGAACAGTAAGCAGCAAGAAGCAGAACTGTAACAGTGGAACTGGAAGCTGTAACTGGCACAGGAAACTGCGAAGCTTAGCCCTACAGCCTGGCGGCCCCACATTTCTGAAATTCGGCGGCACCCCTCACGCTGATCGGCAGGGTCACGACGTCTAACCAATCGCCAGGTGTGGTAACACCTCTGGTCATCTATTGGTTTTGCTCATTACGAGTCGGCCTCGCATGAAGTTCCGATACTGCTTCACGATAGCGCCCAGACCTCATGACATAGCTCTTGCGTAGCGCATTCTCCGAGAGAGGGATCCGGCAGCAGGGGGCGAAGCCCTTACGGATTAAAATCGAGTCGGGTCGAACCAGCCAGAACCAATATCGGACAGGGTCCCGCGGCAAATAATATCAACAGCAGGGTGGGACTGCACATTGCGGAAGCGCGTTGTGTGATAATTTGCAAGCGGAGAATTGAGATCTGACACTCCGTCCACCAAATCCTTTACCCAAACACTGAGAAGGTATGTGCGACACACAACCCGCACCCAACCGGAATGACGAGAAATACTCTTGCTCAAAATCCTCCCGACCCGCGCCGCCTTCACCGCCTCTATCTTGCGCGCGTGCAACTTGGTCATCATCCGGGTCCTCAGTAGCCTGCGCAGGCTCGGGGAACGGCCAGAAGCCTCACCAAGCCGTCCAACCGAAGAGATACAAAGTGGCTAGCAAGCGTCGGCTTCTGTACAGACAGGAGGCCGACCAGCGCGCTACATTCATGGGGGAACGATGCGGGAGAAGGCATCGGCATGGGATTGGCCCTACATCACCGATAGATCGGAAATAGGACACCGATATCAAATCCAAAGCGCTCCTGGGCGGGGCGGCCTATCGGGCCCCTGTCGGCGATGAGTGGGCGATTGGGGGTCCATGGGTCCTCCCCTGAGCCGGTCCCCCCAAAACGACGCCCCTGAATCCTCTCTCCCTCGAGACTCGGAGGCGTGCCGCGGGGGGAAGTGAGAGGGGGCGGGCCTTCTCAGAAGGCTCGGTGGAGCTCGGGCATTCGGACATGTTTTCTAAGCCTCCCCCGAAGACGCAGAAAGCTTCTCTGGAGGGCTTCCGAGAAGCCCCGCCGCCTCCCGAGAGGGTCCGCCTGCTTCCCCGGCGACGGTTCTCTGGGTCACCTGACTTCGCGCATCGAGCCCCGCAGTGCGCGACGCGCGATGATCTGCGCGCCATCGCGCCGCCCCCTTGGAGCAGGGCAGCCTCTCTGCCCCAGACTGCGACGCGCGAGGCGCGGTCACCTTCGCGCCCCCACGGTGACCCGAGTTCTCCATCCCGAAATCCATCTCTGCTGGCCCCGGCTCCTGCGGCTAGAGGCCTCCTAGATGGGGTCGGAGTAGATGGGGTCGGAGGATCGCGCCACATCGGCGATGCATCGGCGATGCATCGGCGATGCACCGGCCATGCATCGGCGACGTCGATGGTGCATCGGCGACGCCAGCGTGGACAAAATAGGGCTCCACATCGGGCGACTCCGACCCCATCTAGGAGGCCTAGAGAGACGGAATACGAAACAAACAACATGAAGACGAACTTCTGGAGGTCCACACGGCTTTCTTGGACAAGCGCTGGATCCCGCTCCCCGGTGCGCGGTGCGCGCCACGGGGGCCCAGCGCCGATTCGAGAGAAGTCCGCGCGGACCTTTGACCACGCGTGTTCATGCAGTATGTTCTTCGGTGAGATCTGCCCGGGAGGTCGCCACCTTGGAAAGCCGCCAGGCTTGAAGCAATCAGCCCGCCGGAGAGCCTCCCAACAGGGGGGCAAGAGGGTGAGGTCCGAAGATCGCGACGCATCGCAAATGCATCGCTGATGCATGGCTGATGCATCCGCGATGCGTCGGCGACGTCGGCGACGCATCGGCACCGTCGGCGTGGAGAGAATCTTGCTCCACATCGGGTTGCATCGCCCATGCACCGGCGATGCGGCGCGACCCTCCGACCCGATCTGCTGGGACGGACCCCAGGTCTGAGCGACGTGAAGAAACGGGCCTTACGAGAGATAGCACAGCAACCTCACGTGGTGGTGATGCGGGCGGCCAGCGCGGCAGCTCCACATTAGAACCGACGGCGCTCACGCACGACCTGACGCGAGCAACTGACGCGCTGACCTGCGCAGACGACCCCGTTTTCTTCCGTCGCTCGTGTGGAAGGTCGGTAAATTTGGTGTCCGTTCCATGGGAGCCTAATTACGCGGTCCTCCCCGCACTGTCCGATTTGGGCCTGGTTTGGACCACATGTGGAACACATGCGGGACCGAGTTTGGGCAAGATTCGGCCCAGATTCGCCCCTTGACAAGGGAGACGAGAAGAAGTGGGAGGGAGAGAAAAAACAGGAGGCAGGGACAGATGCGGTTCAAATGCGGCCAAAGTGCAGGAACAGCTGGCTTCAAAGACGCCCCCACTGCTCTCATGAACAGACATCGAACAATTGCCTCGGTGAAGAGAAGAAGGGGGAGGGAGAGGAAGAGAAGAGGGGCGAACGAGGGAACGGGATGAGGGATGTGGCAGGACTTCCAAGAGGAGGAGGACGACGATGAGGAGGGAGACGCAGCCGTGGTCGTGTTCCATTGGGGGTCCAGGCGCAGGTGCCAGTGAAGGAAGAAACCTAAGGAAGATGGAAGGCCAGGATGGCGAGAAGGTGGAGGCAGACGAGGAGGACGAGGACGCGTTGTCCGCGGTTCTCCGCCGGGAGATTGCAGCGGTGAATCCCCATTCCACGCTGCTGCATCTGGTTTTGTTCAGAATGTTGATGTTGCCCCAGCCCCGCCCATGTTCGATTTCAACGTTTAAACAATTACAGCGAGTCGTACGATTGAAGTCCGAAGATTGGTCGTCTGGCAGGAGTAAGGACTGTCAGGACGCGTAAGTCACGTTGATCCGCGGTGCTGAAGTCCCAGTAGCAGTGTTCTGGCACGATGTAAGGTTCTCGGGGCGGAACACTCTTGTCGATTCGCGGCGTTGAAATCCCAAGAACAACATGTTTTGGCGCGACTGAACATCCTCTGCCGGCTTTCTTCCAACGTGGCTCTCCCCGGCGTGAGAACAAGTATTTGTGAAGCCAGAAGAAATAAGCAGATTGGAAGGGGGGTCAGGTGTAACATCGTGGATGCGTCTTTGAGCTTACATTGGTCAACCTCCTCCTCCTCCTCCTCTGCCTCTTCCGGTTCCTCCTCCTCATGATTCGCCTCTTCATCCTCCGCCTCCTTGTTCATCCTCCGTTCTGCTCCTCCTTCCCCCCAGGTCCTTCCCTCCCTCCTCCTGCCACCCCCCTGGGGTATGACGATGGTGATAATCAATGAGAATGCTGCTGCTGCTGCTGCTGCTGATGATGATGATGATGATGATGATGATGATGATGATGATGATGGTGGTAATGATGAAGAAGAAGTGGATGAGGAAGGGGAGGGAACGCGCACCACCCAAAGAGGAGAGGGCAAGCGGACACGACAACGAACGAGAAGAGGGCAAGCTGAATCCTCCATCATCTTCTGAGCAGAGCGGCCGGGCATGGGCGGCGCCGCTGCAGCTGCGCGAGCCGTGCAGCATCCCTTTTCAGGGTCTGCCCACCTACGAGACCTCCCTTGTGGCGGTACACCCCGCGAAATGCTTAAGAAATCATGGGTTAAGAAATTCATAGTCTCAGAACTTGAATAAAAACCCAAAAATTCTATTCAAATCTCAGGATTTACACTGAAACGTTAAGAATAATCGAGACTCTGGCCGAAAACTTAGGTTTTCTTAAGCATCGCCTGAGGTGTACGAGTGATCGAGCGTGCTAAGCAATGTCAACATAAACTGGGACGGGCGCGAGCTGAGCTGTCGAGCAGGGCACACAGGGGGGAAAAAGGCGGCACGGGCAGGGCCGGAGGCGGTCGGGAACGCAGGCGGGAGGCAGGGAGGCGGGCGGAGAAGACGCAAACAGGCGGGACAGACGAGGTAGTGCAGAATAGGGTCACCCCGCATGGCTAGTTCACAGAACATGTTCTTTCACGAGCTTGGGACATCGAGCTGGAAGAGGGGGAGCAGGAGTAGGAGGAGGACCACTGTAAACCCAATAACCATCAACGATGTTGGAAAAAAAACCTCCCTCCAAGCTCCCTCTCCATAGGCCCCAAACAAAGGCTATTTCACTGAAGGAGCTGCCTCGTTGGAAGGCAAACGTTGGAAGACCCTGAAGAACGTCAAAACATTGATCTCGGGATTCCAACGCCACGAACCAACCTGACTGTTGCGTCTTGACGATCTTGAATGGTGCCAGAACGCCATTCCTGGGACTTCAACACCGCGAACCAACGCAACTGTCGCGCCCTCATATTCCGGAATCCTTCCAAAACGCGATTTCTGGTACGCTGATCGCGGGAAACCATGAAACTCTTGCAACAGTTAAAAACGAATGTGAGCGGCGTTATGGCGAGAGCCACATTTTTGAAAAAGATCTGCCCTCATCCGGTGAACCTCTCGCACATGTTCAAAACGAGTGTGCGCGGCGCTACGGCGAGAGCCACATTTTGAAAACCACTCGCCCTCAATCCGTGAACCTCTTGCAAATTTTTGCAATGAATGCGCGCGGCGCTAAGGCGAGAACCACATTTGAGAACCACTCGCCCTCACACGAGTGCGCGCGGGGCAAAACGAGAGCCACACTTTGAAAACGATCCGCCCTCCATCAGGCGAAGCTGTTGTCTATTGTTGAGCTTCAGGGTCATCAATGGTGAAGAAGTCTCAAGCGAAACGCCTGGCCCGCCCTGGAAACTGGTCTCGGGGTGCGACAGGGACAAGTTATTCATCTGGTAAAAAGGAATGGAAGGAGAGGAGGACGAGATGGAGAAGCAGGAGAAGAAGAACCACCCCCTGCTCTCCACCTCCTATCCTCCCATGCGCCCGCTCATGGCCGAGCCCCTGGCCGCGAGCCTGCCGCTGAAGGCCTCGAAGCTGCCTAGGCGCCGTGCCCGCGCGCGCACGCACGCGCGCCGCCACATCCCAGCGCGCGCTTGGGGCAATGCGGCGCACCCCTGCGGCACTGGAGGGATGCTGAAAAGGGACGGGAAAGACACTACAGTGAAGTCATTGGATAGGAAACAATTTGATAAGGAATCCAGGGTCTGGAAGGCGATGCCACTCCAAGTGTGAATTTGGCCATGGATATCGCCGCCGCCGCTGTCAGATGAGGAATCCCCCAGGGTCCGTAACAAGACTGCTTGCGTGGAAGGAGGAAGGGGGGGTGCGTGGCGAGGCCCGAAGGGGAATCTCGACTTCACGCAAGCCGGGACTCACTTGCAAGCTTTTTCGGCCCTGCGTTGCTTGAACAGGCGGCGGAGAGAAGGGGGGTTGGGTGGGGGAGGGGGAATGCCATGCAAGAGAACTTGCCTGAGTCTACGATGAATTACAGCGAGACATGGGTACGAGGCAAAACAGCGAATGTGAACCAAAAACAATAGCGGCCGCTGTTGGGCGGGCAGCTGTTTATCTCAAGTGGACACCGTCCGACGCGACGCCGAAAGCGACCTCTTCTCAGAATGGACAAGAACTGGCGGCAGTCTTCGTCCCAATTTTTTCCGTAGACATTTCTTGAGGAAAAAACGACAGCATAGACATATTTTCTCGGAGATCCGCACGGATGTCTTGGATCAGCGCTGGACCGCGGCGCCAGAGGCGCCGCCAGGGGGGGGGCCCAGAGCCGATCAATGAAATCCACCCAGACCTCGAGAAATTATGCGTACGCCGTTCTCTATTCTTCGAGAAGAAAAAAAACGATCCTCCAATGAAAAAATGGGGGAGGCGGGATCGGGGCTGGAGCCGCAGGGGCAGCAAGGGGCTGGGAGGGGCAGGGGCAGCAGCAAAGGACGCTGCTCTCGGGTCCCAGTGCGAGTCTGCGCGGCGGCCGTTCGGGGCGAACATTCGGGGATCCCGCAGGGCGCCCTCCGCGAAACGCAGCTGCTGGAAAACCACAGGTACGATGATGTCTTGTCATGCGGGGCCGCCGGCCGGGAGTCCCGACCCCGTCTCCAGGGCGGGCTTCTCATCCCGAGTCCTTTTTGTTGACGGTCCCGAGGCCCCGCGAGGGACTGCGGAGCCCGACAGCTGCCAAACAACTTCCGCCTGATCTGTTTCCACCACGCGGGCATGTCTACAACACCCCGCAAAACTCAGCGCAAGTTTTGCCGACCCCCCCCCTCGCCCCCAACGTGCATGGCACGATCCGCGGACGCCGACGAAAATGTTGAAGTAATGAGCTTCGGCATCAACGTTGGCATCTGGGGATCTGGGGGAGGCCGTCGCAGCGCAGGGGGAACTTTGTTCACGTGTCGCGGGTGCCTGGTAGGAAGCTGCTGGGGCCCAACCAGAACGCCCGAGGACCGCCCCTCGCTCGGGTAGCGGGGGCCAGCAGAAGGACAGCGCTGCAAAGGCAGGCGGCGGAGCCGGGTGGGGCGCCGCCCCGACTGGCGCAGGCCGCGAGGGCGGGCTCGCGGCGTCCAAGGGCGCTGCCCTCCTCGCCGCCCTCGTCGACCTCGCCTTCCCTCCCGTCCTCGCCCTCGCCGTCGTCTGCGTCGTCGTAGTCCTGGCCCTCGCCCTCGTCGACGTCGGCGCAGACGTCGCCGTCGACTCCGCCGTCGTCGTCGTCGTCGTCGTCGTCGTCGTCGTCGTCGTCGTCGTCGTCCTTTTCATTCGTCGTCGTCGTCGTGACGAAAGCCCAGGCGGGCGGCGGCGGCGGCGCGCCTTCGGCCACCTCGAAGCGCCCGCCCCTTGGCATCCCGCCGGGCTCGGGCCTGGGGGGCCAGGGCTGGGGCTGTTGCCAACAAGGGAGGGGGGGAGCTCCTGAAAATGGAACGAATCCCAACCAACTAATCAGGATTTCAAGCGTTCGGGGCGAATTGCAACCAGACTGGTCCCACAACCATTTACGCGTACGGAATCTTCAGAGTAGTGTGAACTTCAGAGATCTTTCAAAAGGCGGCGTGAGGGATTCCTGACTGGGGCAGGTGGAACCTTGAAGAGGGCGTGAGGAATTCCTGAATGGGGCATGAGGGATTCCTGAAGGGGAGCATGCGAAATTCCGAAGCTCAGAATCCAAAAGGACTCCTGACGACTCCTGAGGGATGAGGAGGGGCTCCTAGAAGCCCTGATGAATCCTGAGGAACTTTCAGGAGTCTTAAAAGACCCCCGGAAATCTTCAAGGACCCTTAGGGAACCTGAGGATCCCTGAGGGACCCTGAGGGATCCTCAGGGATCCTGAAGTATCCGAAACGTACCTGAAAGATTTCGGGGAAGCCTGCGGGATCTGCAGGGAGCCTACGGGATCTCGATGGATCATGATGGATCCTTAGGGATCTTGCGGGGTCCTGAGGCGTCCTGAAGGATCCCACGGGATCCTCAAGGATCGCCCGGGATCCTGGGGGATCCGCGGTGGTTCTCAGGGATCCGCAGGGATCCTGAAGGGATCTGGGAAATCCTCTAGAATCTGGAAGGTGTCCAACAATCCAGAGGAATCCTGAGCGACCAGCGCTCCCGCGGAATCCTGTCAGTTCTTGCGGAATCAAAAAGAATCTGGAGGAATCCTGTGGGATCTTGAACGGTTCTGAAGAATCCAGAGCAATGCGGTTGAATCAGTAAGGTGTTTGAAGAAAGCTGAGGAAACTTGTGGAATTTTGACGAACCCTGTGGGAACCTAAGGGATCCAACGGAGCCTGAGGAATCCCGAGGGATCCTCAGGAATCCTGAGGGACCGCACGTACTATGGTGTACACAGGCGCTTTGGTGCACGCGTGCGCTGCTGCAGCAGCTGCAGTGGTCGCGTTGGCGCGGGACAGAAACGCAGAGAATCGCGCATAAGATGCGCATCGAACGTCACGCGTTCAGCCCCCCCGTTCACTTTTGACATTGACCCTAGACCCCCTTATCGAGCCATCGAACCCTTTTGCGGGGCACCCGCCTGCCCCCCTGCCACAAAGGACGCGGCTGGAATGCAAAATCCGACCCCTGGCGGGGCATTTCCGCGATGACACGACATTAAGGGGAGGCGGATTAGGAGGAGGAGGAGGAGGAGGAGGAGGAGGAGGAGGGGGCAGGAGGAGGAGGAGGAGGAGGAGGAGGAGGGGGAGGAGAAGGAGGAGGAGGAGGCGGAGGAGGAGGAGGAGGAGGAGGAGAACGAGGAGGAGGAGGAGAACGAGGAGCAGGAGGAGGAGGAGGAAGGACACTCCCATGGAAGAGACGAGACGAGGGCAAGCGGACAAGACAGGGACGAGACGAGGGCAAAGGTTCGACATCCATCCTCACCCTACATCGGCGGCGGCAGCAGCAGCCACAGATGGCGCGCCTGCGCCCGCCAGGCCAGCAGCGAAAGGATCGGCCCCTTAGAAGAGGAACCTCACAATCTGGGACCTACCTGATGTGGCCCTGGCCCTCACTTTCACAAGGGACGAAAAGACACTGGCAGCGTACAAATCCTGAACTCGAAGAGAGTTGAAACTAGACCGGATGAGATCGAGGGCGACAAGGCACGAACAAATGGCGGCAAGACTAGGGCGAGAAAAGCGGGACAGGCAGAGGAGGAGCAGGGAGATAGGCCCAGGGGGCAGAACCTGACCAGGATCGGGAAGATGGGGAAGTGATTGACTCACGACGTGATGAACAGACAGACAAAATAAATAGTGAAGCTGATCCCCATTCTTCAGACCACACGCTCGGCAATTTTGAATTCCAGACCTGTATCTGGCTGAAGTATCCCACGCGTTGCATTGCGTCTTCATATACGCAGAGGCACAGATTTTAGGAAGTTCACGAGCTGCTTCACGAAACAGGGAAAACAAACATGAGCTTCTAATTCCAAAACGGGGTCCCATGTCTTCAGTTTTGTTGCGAAAAGGTCCAGGCTGGAGAAGTTGTCCTTCGCGGACACATAGGCAGGAAGACACTTCGATGCTGCATTGGCGATGCACACGCGATGCATCGGCGACGTTGGCTATGTATCGGCGCCGTCGACGTGAAGCGAAGCGGGCTCCACATCGATTTGCATCGCCAACATCGGCAATGCGGCGCGATCCTCCGACCCCATCTGCTCGGACTCTATCTGGGAGACTGCCGACGCATCTGGCTCCCACTGCCTTCGCGCCACTCCGGCCGAGGGGCGCGCGCACCCGCGGCGCGCGACGTAGTACGCCGTGTACGTGAGCGCCTGCGGAGGGCGCGGGGGGCGCGTCTGCGCGTCCCATACCGCCTCCGGAAGCCCTCGTGGGCATGCGCGCGAGGCCAGATCTGAAGCACATCCACCGCCCAGGGGAACCGATCTCCCCAGACACCAGGCAGGAGAAAGAGAGGAGACACCATCAGCACCGTCAGCGTGGTGGGCGGGGCGCAGCGCTGGCGAGCCGGCGGCGCGGGCGGTTCGTCGTCGTCGTCGTCGTCGTCGCCGCCGTCTTCTCCCCCACCCGCGCCGACTTCTCCCTCGAGACACGCACGCCCTGTCCCCAGCTCGGGGAGGCATCGTGGACCTTCGCGCTGAAGGTGGCCCGCCCCAGCCCCCAGGAGGCCCCCCCAAGAGGCCCCAGGATGCCAGAATCATTGATTTCCTTTGGGAAAACATGCGTTTTTAGCATTCGCGGCTTTTCGGCTTTCACGGCGTTGACGACGGCCCCAGAGGCCCCCCAAACCGCCCCAAGACGGCCCAAGAGGCTCCCAAGAGGCACCCAAAACGGCCCAACAGGGCCCCAAGACGGCCCCAGAGGCTGCCAAAACGGCCCGGGTGGCGGTGGATATGGATACATATGCGACCACCCTTCGGGTGATAAGGATGTTGGGGGGGAGGGCAAGCCAGCTGACGACAACATCGATGACTTGAATGGCGACGAGACAGTGCTGATGCACGATGATTTTGATGGTGAGAGTGCATCATAGCGATTGCAACGATGGCGACACAGACGCAACCCGCGCGGGCCGCGATGCATGTGATGCTCGGTGATTGCAATGCCTGGGATGCTCGCTCGAGCGGCCTCGATGTCACTGTCGACCTCCTATCGCTTCCACGGTAGAAACGAAACTCTTAGAATCGATCTCACAAACGACCTCACACGAGATCCCGCCATCGACCTCTCTGTCGATCCTCGATCTCGTCATCGAGCTCTTAATATCTCTGTGAATCTTTCTATGGGTACCGCTATAGATCCCCCGATCGAACTCGCATCGATATCACTATCGATCTCACGAATGGTCTCACAATTGGTCTCACGATCGATTTCACGATCGATCTCACAATCGGTCTCACGATCGATCTCGCAATCGATTTCACAATCGATCTGACCACACATCCCACGATCGTTCTCACGATTGACATCACTATCGGTATCACTTTCGATCTTACTATCAATCTCACTACCGGTCTCACTATCTCGCCACCGACGGGGCAGCCCCCGCCATCGACGGAGTATCGATCTCACAGGTGGTTTCACGATCGATCCCACTATCGATCTCACAATCGATCTCACCATAGATCTCACTGTCGCTCTCACTATTGACCTCACTATCGATCGCACGATCGATCACACTATCGATTTCACTATCGATCTATCGCGCCACCGACGGGGCAACCCCCGCCACCGACGGGGCACCCACGCACCACCGGCGGGGCACCCCCGCACCACCGACGGGGCACCCCCGTACCACCGACGTAGCACCCCCGCACCACCGGCGGGGGACCTCAGGTCACCGCGCGCAAAGAGGGGGTGGGGCGGTCAAACGGCTCCACGGACCCTAGCCATGGCGGCATCATTCCTGTCTCGCGCCCACGCAGCTTCGCCTCGCCCGCGAGCACGACACGAACACGAAATCGACTTCCTGGTGGGGCTCTCCGTCCCACTGCGATCTCACCCACCAACCTCCGACACGTAGGACCCAGGGGGAGCGAATCCGCCAACCCCTTGACGCGTGGACGGCGATGTCATCGTCGTCGTCGTCGTGTTCGTCGTGGCCGTCGTCGTCGTCGTCGTCGTCGTCCTTCGTCAACGTCGTCGTCGTTCGTCGTGTTCGTCGTGTTCGTCGTCGTTCGTCGTCGTCGTCGGCCGCCTCGTCGTCGTCGTCAGTCCCAAAGAAGACTGAGGAACAATGAAATACAGGAACGTCGTAGTTGAGTCGAAGGAAAGCCCCCTCCCTTTGATCCCTTCCCCGCTGGGGGGGGGGGGGGGGGCGCGGAACGGGTCCCCCTCAAGGGGTGGTCCCGCCGGTGGACAGGTGAGAGAGGGAGCGGCTCCCCGACCCCGGCCCCCGCCTGTAGCCCCAAGCAAGAACTCTGGCCCTGGACCCCGCCGCGGCCGCGGCCGCGGCCCACGGGGTCCGGGCCCTGGCCCCGGCCCCGCGGCCCTGGACGTCTGGGTGGAGGGCCCGGGGGTCCCCGGGAGGTGCCGCCTTCAGGGGCGGCGGCACCGGCCGTAAAAGGCCTTCACAGTACATCCATGTATCCGCCGCCCCCCTTGGAGTCATGGAAGATAGGGTATGTGCAGGTAGATTCCTGGAAGATGGGCTGACACCCTTGAAATCCGTGAAACCCCTCACGAAATAGCATTAGGCGCTCGCGGCCGTAGTCCAACATATGCATCACCTGGTGAAGCAGCATCCAAATTTCCGCGTTGTTGATGCCATGCTGCTATTTTAACCTCCAGATGTCTGGGCATTGACAACGACGCGATATATGGTGCCGCTTGCGCGCACGTGCACACTCGCCTGCACAAGTGTGGTTTCGCTTGGAAGTTCAAAGCATGGTCCTTTTTGTTTGGTTACTGGCGCGGAAGACAGCACGCGCTGCGTCCCCACCGAGGTATACATACATCGTACCTATATATATATATATATATATATATATATATATATATATGTATATTTGTATATATATATATATATACACATACACATCTATATAGTACGCACACTCGTGGCGGACACTGGTCCAGCCAGCGCTTAGGTGTGCAAACGTCGTATCAGAAGATGATTCACAAGGCACGCGAGACGCACAGACGCAAAGGGCGTGCTTCCCTGCGCGGACTAATTTGCAAGCAATGGTGCGCTGCCCGATGCCCAACTCAACAGTCACAAGACAGCTCACCGCTTGGGCGCCACCAGCCCACGAAACCAACGGCGGGCATACATCGGGCGTCGCCCCGCAGAAACCGCAAGAGCCAACAACTGCGAGTCCCGTCCGCATCGGTTGCGCCACAGGCTGCGTTACGGATGGCACTGCGGGCGCAATAGGTTTCGACAAGCAGCTTGCGACATGTCTTGCACGATGTTTCGGCCAAGCGTTTCCCAGAGGTTGCGCTGGAGATTACATCGCAGGTGCACCGTAGGTCCCTGATGCGTCCCCAGCTGGCGGTGTCGGGCCCTTGGGGTCCTCATTGGAGACTTCCTGGGGCAGCTGGGGCTCTCTATGGGGCGGCCTCTTGGCTCGTGCAGGGGCCCTCTGGGGGCGTCACGGGTCCCTCTTGGAACCCTCTTTGGGCAGCTCGCGGGCCATCACGTGGCCCTCTTGGGCTTCTCGCGGCCTGCTTAGCTCTTGGAAGACAAGCATACGAATATGGTGAGGTTCCGCGCTCCACAAATAATGGGAACGATTCGTGCCTCTTGGGACCCCATCGGAGTCCTCTCGGAGCCGTCGTGGGGTCAACGGAGAAAGCACTTCAAGCCGTTTCGAGGCCAACTCGGGCTGTCCGGAGCTGTCCAAGAGCCATCTGGGGGCCGCGCGGCTGCCTTCTTCGTCTGGGTTCGGTTCTGTTGGACACATCTGTACAGTCAAACTTGATTGGACAGGAAACGCGAGAGGACACAAAACCCTTCCGAGGGCCACATTGCCGCAGGAATGTGGGAAGCATGGGTCGCGAGACACAAGACACAAAGGGTACCCTTGATTTGGCAGGGTCGACCTACTAATCTGGGCCGATTGTAGGCTCATCCAGGGGGGGGCGGAGGAGAAACGAAGGGTACTCCGGGTGCCGGGTGCCCCTGGCGTGCTGTGGCCCTGAGGCCCCCAGAGCCAGGTTTCCGGCTCGTGAGAGAAGTCCCGGAGCACCCACACCGATCGCAGCCAAGGTTCTTTGAAGGGGCCCCAGGACACACAAATAAATACACACAAATAAAAAGATTCCCCATATTTTCCCATATTTTCTGGGTTTTTGTCTCCCCCCCCCCACTACCCATATTTTCCCATATTTTCTGGGAAATCGAGGATTAATTGTGTCTGTGTGTTTTTTCCTCTCCTGGTTATTGTTGGAGTAGTCTCTGACCCTCGCTCCCGCACGTGAGCCTGTAGGAAGCACGCCGGCCAGATGCTCAGACGAAGTTTTCCGTCGGTGCTCTTATCGTGAGGGGCGCTACTGCGTAGCCACTCAAACGCGGAGCGCGGGAAGTTGATGGGGCGCTACTTCGGCTCGATGCTGCAAAGTTTCCGCTCGGGCTGTAGCCCTTAAGCCCTCTGGGCGAGAAGTTGTCTTCAGAGGGCCGCGTGCCTCCGACAAGACATGCACAACCAGACAAATCTCAACGAGGTGCATCAAGTGGACCAGGCTCCAAGCAATGACAAGGGATGGGGAAACGACTCGGATCTCCCCCGAGCACCCACACCTTCCTCGGGTTTTTTCCCCCCTGGGGCTGCAACTGGCCCGGGGTGGCCTCAACAAATGGAAGGTGGTGTTTTTCTTCTGGGTTCCGACATTTGGCCGAAAGGGAAGGGGTCTCGGTCTAAGCTGGTTCTTAGTCGATCTGCTCTTACCAATCGCGCACGCAGACTGGGGGGAGGGGTCATGCGTCATGCCCACACGAAGAAAGCTACCGCCAAAAGCAGCCACCAAGGTCTGCTCAATGGAGGGGGGGAGGCGGGGGCCAGGGACCCGCGTCGATCGGCAAAACAATGAATCAAAAAACGGCCACCTGGAAGGGCTGGCCGCCACGACTGCTCTAACAGGCGTCGGACGTCCGGGTAGCCCTCGGCCCGCCGAAGCGCCGAAGACGCCGACGACAGGCCCGGCGGCGAGGTCGGCGGCCGCGACGACGCCGCGACAGCGGCGGCCGCGGCGACGACGACAGCGGCGGCGGCGACCAACCACGAAGGATTATCTGACAAGCCACCCCAATTCAACCCGAAGACTAACATTTCGCGCTGGGGGGGTACGGGTTCCACATGAAGCCCCCCACACTGGGAATGGAGGGCGAATTTGGGCCTTGGGGTTGGGTTGGGATGGTTCGGTGTGTGGTGAACAACGGCCCCCGACATCCACCGATGTGTTTTTTCAAGATGTGGCCCCCGGAAGTCCCGACCGCTTCTCTGGGGGCAATCGTTCGTACCGGGTCCATGCTTGATGACCCCGGGGTCGGCAAGCTGCCCCCGAGGGCCGAGATCGAGTAAAGACGCCCGAAATGGAGAAACCGAGGCGTCGGAGGTCTGGGGCGACGATGGCGGTGCCGGCGAAGTCGCGCAGGGCCTCGTCGTCGTCCGTGGCCGCGGCGGCCTCCTCTGCGGAAGCCTGGCGGGGGCGGGTCCCGAGCGCCGCGGCCGCCCGAGCCGCCCCGATGGCAAACCCGCCGCAGCTCCGGAGGCGAGGAGGCACGTCGCCTCGGCAGACGCCGAGCTGGTGACTGGTTAGGGCTTCGGGCTGCGCGCCGACGGGTCCCCCGAGGAGGGGGAGGAGGAGGAGGAGGAGGAGGAGGAGGAGGAGGGAGGAGGAGGAGGAGGAGGAGAGGAGGAGGAGGAGGAGGAGGAGGAGGAGGAGGAGGGAGGAGAGGAGGGGAGGGGGAGGGGGAGGAGGAGGAGGAGGGGAGGAGGAGGAGGAGGAGGAGGAGGAGGAGGAGGAGGAGGAGGAGGAGGAGGAGGGAGGAGGAGGAGGAGGAGGAGGAGGAGGAGGAGGAGGAGGAGGAGGAGGAGGGGAGGGGGAGGAGGGGGAGAGGGAGGAGGAGGAGGAGGAGGAGGAGGAGGAGGAGGAGGAGGAGGAGGAGGAGGAGCCTTCGGCGGTCTCAACACCCTGGCGCAACCACGCCCCAGGGTCGAGGCGTCGAGGCCGTCCGGAACTATACCTCGGGCAGGCCTGTGGAGGCCAGCGGGGATCACCTGCGGGGGGCCTGTCGGCACGCAGCGCGGAGCCCCAGCTTCGAGCACTGACTACCCACCAGACCACCCCAACCCAACCCGAAGACCCGAATTTCGGGTTGGGGGGGGTAAGGGTTCCACACGTGTTTGTTCGATGTTCCCCGACCCCCCCCCCCCACTGGAAATCGAGGGTAAATCTGAGCCTTCGGGTTGGGTTGGGGTGGTTTGGTGGGTGGTGAACTAGATCTCACCTTTGGCCATCTGTGCCCCAGCGTGAGGCAGATGGGCGGACGGTGGGCAACTGAACTCTGGACGCCGCGTGCTGCCTCGAGCTGAAAATGCACGGTGCTGGGCCGCTGGGAAGACGAAGCGATGGGCCCTGCAGCCAATCGTGTGGGCCCTGGGGCGCTCTGCGTTGATCGAAGTCCGAGGTTCGAGATGACCAGGTCGTTGGCAGCTCGCTGCTTCCTCAAGGGCCTCCGGGAGGCCTCCGGAGACCTCCTCCGCGGGATACCGGTCACAAAACACGTGCAGATCGATCCTCGGAGCGAGGCCAAAGCAAGGGGACGCCACCTCATCCAGGAAACGAACGCCCGTTCCTCCCAAAGCCCCCCCAGGTGCCCCAAAAACACACGAAAACTCCCAACTTCTCCTCGGCCCTCGGTCCCGCCTCTTCCTCGGCCCTTGATTTCCAGGAGGTGATGACCCCCCCTACTGGTGATGAAACTGCCTAAAATCATGGGAAGCGCGGAGTGTGCCTAAACAGGCGTGTGTTTCAAGGCGGAGGCGGGGCTGCGCGGGCAACCTCTGTCAGGTTATTATTCGGCCGAGTTGAATACATATTCTCACGATACAAAAACACTCCCCACCAGTTTCGACACATGTTCTTACAATAATGCTGCCATGGACGGCTGTCCCCATCTGGGAAACAATACAGACCAGTATAGCTTCAGCAATGGCAAACGCTGAAGACGATCCAGGTGCTGCCCCAATTAGGGAACTCAGACTTTTCCATACACGCACTGCTTGCCGCTGCTTGGCGTTACTGTGCGTTGCTGGGCATTGCTTGGCATTCTTTTGCATGTATTTGCAGTGTTTGACGTTGCGTTGAGATGCTTGGCGTTGCCTTCCGTTGCTTGGCGTTGTCATGCGTTGCTTGGCGTTGTTTGGTTTTGTTCGGAGACGCCTGGCATTGCCTGGAAGTAAAATCAATAAAATCAAAACTTGCATGAACAAAATCAAGACCAAACGTCCGGCACCCGCAGGTCGCTTCAGCAGAAAAAAAAAACAAATACTCCAAGGCAACTCCCAACCAGGATCACATGTAATACATTCCAGCCCGTTTTGAACACAAGCCGCCTTGGACACTTCTTGAGTCCACGGGCGCCAGGGTGTGCGAGACGGTCAGGCACCGATGAAAGCGAGCGGTGGGCAGCACCAAAAGCTGGTACGGGCACGAAGCGGAGAAGTCAGAGGACGAGAGAAGAGACAAAGACGGAGCCCGATCAGACCATGTCGGTCAACGCTTTGGACGCACAGTTGGCCTCCGGTAGGCAGGGGGGAGCGCCTGGCCGCCTGCCACGGCCGCGCCGTCCCTGAAGTGCAGGGTGCACACGCACAGCAGCAGCACCTCGGGCCCCTCCCCTGTGTGATGGGGAGGTAAGGATGAGGGTGGGGGCCAGACCGGGGGGGAACACAGCCGAACCGAATGATCAAGAAACTATTCGTTCAAGAACATGTGGCCAGCTTCCAAAGCATGTCTGGAAACAAGCCTTGGCAAATATCTGTTTGCAACGCTGGAGGGCGAACGTGCTCAAGACACTGGGCCATTTTTCGGGCAAGCAGGTTAATGAACGCAGGCCCAGCTTTTCGAGGGGAGATTGTTCGATCACACGCCCGCCTGTACATCGAGCTGGAATCAGCGACACATCGCCGATTGTTCGGCGGTCGGCCCCCGATCGGAAATCCGTACGTTCTTGGGCGGGGTGTGCGAGTGGCCCCATGTCGGCGATCAATGGGCGATTGGAGGTCGACAGGAGGTCGATGCATCCTCCCTCAGCAAATTCCCCCGATAACAGTGCCTCTAAACAAGGAGGGGGAGGGGGGAGGAGAGGAGGGGAGATCGCCGTCGGAGGCCCCAGGGGCAGAACGCAGCACGACTGTGCGCTGGGTGGCCACATGTGAAGGGGCCCAAGGACACACAAATAAATACACACAAATAAAAACATCCCCCATATTTTCCCATATTTTCTGGGTGTTCGTCTTCCCCCCCAAGTCGCATATATTCCTATGTTTTCTGGGGGATCGAGGATTAATTGTGTCTGTGTGTTTCTTTTCCTCCTGAACATGGTCAGAAACTTGCGTCACTGGCGCTCCCGAGCGGGAGCGCCGTAGCAATCTGAGCGGTCGCCGCCGGGGGATGCCGAACGACCAGAATGCAACATTGGAGCTCCCAAACAAGAGCGTCGTAGCAATAGAAACCGTTGCCACCTTGAGCAGGGAGGGAGGGAGGGAAGGAGGAGGAGGAGGAGGGGAATCATACGAAAACAACAACTCAGACACAAACGGTCGAAGTTCCGCGCGGATGCTCTCGATCGGGCGGAGGCTCCGCCAGGGGGTGCCAGCGCCGATCCCAGAAACTTGAGCGGACCTTCGAAAGTCGATGGCTATATCATTTTCATTCTTCGAAAGCAGAGACGGTAAGGAGGATAATTGACTGCAGAGAAGCTACATCTTGAAGCAGCCCATCCACCCAACTATACAGCAACAGTCCTTCGTGGCCTTTCGTTCGTAATGCTTAAAACGGTGAAAAATCAGACCGGGGGGACAATTAAACAAATAGCCATTCCCAGCGCTTTAGTGCGCATGTAGGATATGAAAGGAAGGCGGGGCAAACCGGACCGCTGGGGACGTCCCCGCGAGCACCCGTGCGCTCCGCCTCCAACATAAGGTCATTGTGCCTTACAGAAACAGCGGGCGACACGTGCCACTCCCGAAATGATAACAACCCATTGTAAATCGAAGGCCATTCAGCTTCACAAAAAACAGCGGGTGACGTGTCACCTCCGAAACCGTCTGATAAAAACCAATTGTTAATTTGGGGTTCGGGGAGCCAGCATAAGGCCAGTCAGCCTCATAAAAACAACGGGCGACACGTGTCACCGCCGAAACCGCGTGGGAAGAACCCAATGTCAATCTGGAACTCTAGGACCAAGCATAAGGCCATTCAGCCTCGCGAAAACAACCGGTGAAACGTGTCTCCCCCGAAACCGCCTGAAGAAAAACCATGGTAGATGCTGAAGTCAGGGGGCCAACATAAGGCCATTCAACTTCACACAGCACAACGAGCGACACGTGTCACCCCCGTAACCATGTGCATTTATCGATAGCATCGTTCGGTCCCCGTGAAAAAATGTCCACAATGCGCTGTTAAACAAAAAATTGTTCGGCGGCGTATCAATGTTTACTATATTTTGAACAGCTGTTTGACATTACCATGTAGCTCGACCTTCGACCAAAAAACCCGCCATTGGAGTGAACGATTAGCCTCGCTCGCAAGTCTCAGCAAGCACACTACTCGTGGAATCCGATCGCGTGGGGCCATAACTCGGGTGGGAAAGTCGGTCGCGCGGGACCTCGGGCCGCTCCCGCTCCCGCTTGGCAGGGCGAGCGCGGTAAGATATATCCTTGCGATGCTCAACACATCCAAGAGCGGCCCATGAGAGTCGCAAGAGAGCTCTATGAGGCGATCTTCCGGGATCCAGGGTGGCAGTGGGGATCCGCGCCGCCGCTGTTTTGTCCGATGGCCTCCGAGATGGCGCCGAACAAAGCCCGAGAGGCCCCGTTAAAAAGGTCCCAGTGATGCCCCGGGAGGACCCCGACTGCACCCAAAAACCCAAAAGGGGCCCCAAAAGACCTCCAATGTGGCTCCACTATGGCGCTCTCGCTCGTGTCATTCTATGCTTGATTATCTCCCTTATCCCGATAGCTCGATATGGCATCATTTCGGATGGGCTGGCTGGGGGTATTTTTTGGCGCGCGGGTGCGCGTTACAAGCCGAACACCGAACAAGCCCGGGCGGGCCGCGCCGTAGCGACACGAAAACCGGCGAAGAGAACAGCGACCGCCACAGAGCCGAGCAAGGCGAAGCGCAGCCAAAATGACGCGGGGGGCATCGCGCAGGCACCGAGAGCACGTCCACGAAGACGCCGAAGAAGACGCCTGTGTAGATGGTCGAACGACCGCCCACGTGGCCATAGCGAACGGAAATGAGTGCCACACTTGCCCAGGGCGGCGGTGACCAGGAAGGAAGAGGGCGATGCGGGCCAACGGTTCCCCAGGTACCTCGCCGAACACGCAGCACAGGACCCACTAGGTCTCCACGACGTAGAACAGCGAACGGGCCAGCAGGAGAAGCGCACGCGCCAACGAGACGAACAGGAACGGCGGGCGAGTAGCAGTCGTGAGAGAAAAAGGCCTCCAGGCATCGTGTAGAACGCGCAGATGAACGCCGACGCGTGGGAGACAAGCGCCGCGAGGAAGGAGCGGGGGGCGGTCGGGCTGCGGCCGCTCTGGGACCTCCCCCGTGAATTTCAAGTGCGAGGGGGAAGCGGGGTTGGCCGGGCTGCGGCCGCTCCGCGCCCTCCAGCGGGCAGGTCAGAGGCCCCCTGGCCTGGCGAGGGCAAGCGCAGGCAGTCTGACTGCACATGCTGAGAAGGGAGAGAGGACACCTCTCGCCGGCGAGGAGCTGCAGCGCGACCAGGGGTAGCGCGCGTCGGGCTGCCCACGGGGCGGCTGCAAGCTGCGAAACAGGGCCAGGAGTGACGGGATAAAGAGATGATGAGGAGCGGCAACTGATCGCTACAAATGCTCGGAGGACAAGAAGGATGGCGATGGCGAGACCCGGGAGCAGCTGATCGCTACAAAAGTATGGACAGCGGAACCGAACACAGGATAATCCCAGGAAGCGAGGCAGGAAGTGACGCTAGGCCCAGGAAAGCTCCTCCCCCTGGTCTCGTGGCCGTTGTGGAGCGCGGCCGCCAGCCTGGGCCAAGGGCGCCTGTCTCCGCGGCGGGGCATCGCCTTCCTTACCCGTGCCATCGCCACGCCACAGGTACCGCTCGCGGAGCTGTTCCCAGTCAGCCCCGAGGCGCAGCGCGTCGTCAATGGACCGAGCGTTCCCTCTGTGGTGGCGGACGGAGTCCAGGGAACTCACGCACGCTTGCTGGTCGTGCCCGAGCGGGCCGAGTGCTGCTCTGGAGCCGGGCGAGGCGTGCTTTTGGACTAACGCGCGCCAGGCACCTGTGAACATCGCGCCCAGGGTGACTTGGAGTCGCTTGATATTTTTGCCCGGGGGCTCCCTGTAAACGCCCCATTTGGCGCCTTCGGTCTCGACATTTCAAAGCTGCTTCCACGTGCCAGGATCAAAGGTTTGAGGGCGCTGGCGGACGGCGCGCCACCCGTCCCTGTCGGGCGCGGCCGCTCGCTTGTTCCAGGCGTTGCTGCTGATGTTGCCGCCGTGCTCGCCGCCTGCCGTCGGCGTCGTCGGTCGTCTGCCGCCAGTCAGACCCCGCCAGGCCGTCGACGCTGCTGGGCGCCAGGTTCCGTCCCGCGGTCGGCGAGGGGGCTGGAAGATCGCCGGTTCTCGGGGCCAGGCCCAGTGTCCAGCCGCTCCCAGACGGACGCGCCAGCGGCGCACGATGGCCACGGCGCCGTCGCTCCTCGGCGCTGGGACTCGGACTGTTGCGGGGGAGGGCGGTGTCAAGGTGGAGCGCATCCGCCCGCGAGTCGCTGCCGCGGGCTGGAAGGTCAGTCGAAGAAAAGCGCGGGTGGGTGGTCGTTTGCTCCGACTCGTCTGGCGCACCCGGCTTCTGTTCCAACGCCTGCTCTGCCCTCAGGTCGTCGGCGTCGGCGTCGGCGTCGTCGTCGTGAGCGTCGGCGTCGGCGTCGTGAGCGTCGGCGTCGGCGTCAGCGTCGGCGCCGGCGTCGTCGTCGGCGTCGTCGGGCGTCTGCCGCCTGTCAGACCCCGACAGGCCGTCGACGCTGCCGGGCACCAGGTTCTGCCCAGCGGTCGGCGATGGGGCTGGGGTTTCGGCCGTTCTCGCGGCCAGGCCCTGTGTCCAGCCGCTTCCAGGCAGACGCAGCAGCGTCGCACGCTGGTCGCAGTGCTGTCGCTCCTTGGCGCTGGGACTCGTACTGTTGCAGGGGAAGGCGGTGTCAGGATGAACCGTGCCCGTCCGCGCGTCGCTGCCACGGGCTGAAGGGTCAGTGGACGTGCGCGGGTGGGTCGTCGCCTGCTCCTGCTCGTCTGGCGCCCCCGGTTTCTGTTCCAACGCCGGCGCTGTCCCCAGGTCGTCGGCGTCGGCGTCGTCGGCGTCGTCGGCATCGTCGTCGTCGGCGTCGGCGTCGTCGGCGTTGGCATCGTCGTCGTCGTCGGCGGCGGCGGCGTCGGCGTCGGCGTCGGAGTCGGCGTCGGCGTCAAACAGCACGGGTAGCTGGGCTCTGCCACAAGGGCCTTGCACCTCCCCCAAATCTTTGTCGAGGCACCGGCCGCGAAGGGATGGAGGGTCAGTCGAAGAACTGCGTGGGTGGGTGGTTGCCTGCTCGTGCTCGTCTGGTGCCCCTGGTTTC